TTTCCTGGAGCTCACTTGGTAGCCCAGGCTGGCCTCGAACTCACAGAGATCCGCCTGGCTCTGCCTCCCGAGTGCTGGGATTAAAGGCGTGCGCCACCACCGCCCGGCTCAGGTTTGTTTTTATTAATAAGAACTTTTAAGATTCATGCTACACAATCCCTCTGAATTCAGGTCTTCAATGTCTCCTCCATAAGCACTCCTGTCCCCATGAAGCTGTATTCCATTCTGTGGCACAGCAAGAGGCCCTCTCCAGGAGTCAAATAAATGGCCTCAGATCCCAGAATTTCTCCAAACAGTGAGTTAATTAAGCTCCTTTCTTTACAAAGTGCCAAGCCTCAGCCACTTTGTTTGATCAACAGCAAAACGGACTAATGTAACGACTGTTTAGCATTTGTGGACAGATCTTTTGAACATTGAAATCTTATGTAAAGGAAAGCAGCTTGCAGTGAGTGGGCATTCAATATATCAATCCAAGTTCCAGGTGAGAACTGGCTGATACATGTCAAGATACAATGAACCTACCCATAGAAGATGGCCTCATTTTCCACAAGGCAAGGGTTGCAAATACTTGGGGATGAATTCATCTTAAAAAGGAAGAACGATCGAGTGTAGCCCGTCTTACTATCCTCCACAATGTTTCCTGTGTTCCATAATGTAAGCATCATCCTTTTGTCAGAGTAGTTCATCATCTTTCAGTACAAGCACACAGAAGGAAAGTACTGTAGTGTAAAATAACAGCTCATTTCCGCACACCTGGTATTTGGGAAGGTAACATGTATATTTCTAGTTTATATGTCACCAAATGAATATCAAATTTGAATATCTCTCTTGTCTGGGTAAGGACAATCATCTGGTCCATGGGACGTATAAGACTGATTGAAACAGCAAGCATTTCACCAAGATGTCCAAACAGGAAGAAACGTTGGCCTAGTCAGCATCAATAGCAGCATCAGTACCAGAAAATACTGGCTGATCTCTCTGATGAAGAATTCTATTATGGGGCAATTGGTATTGAGTTTGGCTTCAATGTGATGCCATTAGTTGTTTCAACAGTTTTGGTACCTGGTCATGGATTTTCTTCAGTTCATTGATTAGCAACTGTGAATGGAGTTATTTTTCTGTGGTGAGACAGAACAAAGGAATACTTGAAAATGACACCTTAGAAAATGACACTTTTAATCAGATGTTTAGCAATCCAATAGTAAGATGCAGCCAAGTCAAAGGACCCTCTGAGTAGCTATAGGGTCTTTCCAAATATAAATGAGCATCCCTAGTTTTCACTCTACTAACACAAGTGTAAAACTCAGAACTGTGGCAACTAAGGGGAATTGTGTAACCTTAATTCTTCCATGACTAGTTTTATAAACATGGCAGAAACCACCTAGTCTATCCTCATTTGAAAAATTAGAACCAGCAGAAGAGTTCTGAAGATAAAAAGGAGGTATATAGAGGAAAATTATAATTGTTATCATTTTGGTAATTGTTATTGGTTACTGTGGTGGTTTGAATAAGAAATGTCTACCTGAGTCTGTGGGAGACTTAGGTGGTCCAGCCTTGCTGGAGGAAGTCACTGGTGGCTGGGTTTGAGAGTAAAACACCTCACTATATCCAGTTTACTCTTTCAGGTTTGTGCTCGCCATTCAAGGTATGCCTCTGGCTGCCATGTTTCTTCACCATGATGGGCCCTCTAGAGCCATAAGCCAAAATAAATCCTTCATTCTCTAAATTGCCTTTGCCATGGTATTTTATCACAGCAACAGAAAGTAACTAATGCAGCTACTAATAATATATTAAGTAATAACTTAGAACATAATTTTGAAATAACTTAGAAATGATAAATCCTGGGATGTGGATAGTCTTTGAAACATTTCTTATTTCCTTGAAGAATCAAAATAAAAATCTTTTTACAAGCACCATTTATTTCTCTTATAAACAGCTCTCTCTGTGAATTTTAACTTCTACATAGAGCATTGCCATCAGAGGCTACTCCACCATTGACAACTGGGGAGCAAAGAGGTCTCAGGGTCTCTGTGAGATGGCACATGTGTGTTCATGCTTGGAAAGGGAAGCTGGTGTCCCTCACTGTCATTAATCACTGAGATTTGCCCTCTGAATGAGGCAGGTGGTCAGAGTTCACACCACAGACACTGGCACTCTCTTGTCATGGCTACAGTGTGCTCCCACACTTCACACTACTCTTGGTGGAAATGGCCAAAGGGTAGAAGCAGCAAAAATTGGAAGATCATGAAGAGAAGGCAGTAGCTGGTATGGAGAAACCAAGAGAGCAGCGTGGTTACAGGAGGAAGAATTACCAGAGGGCTGTGAGAGGGACGTTGGAGTCTTAATATTGGCTTTCTGGATTCCTTGTTTCACTTTGTTGCTGGGTCTGAGCTTGGGAAATTGTTTCCTGTTTGTTTACTTCTTATCTTTTGAAGTCATCTTCGGGAAAGATAGGAATCAGAGAGAACAAGAAGAGAAAAATGGCTCCACTGCTCAGTGTACTGGGGCCAATCTCCAAGCCTCCCACTGTGTTTCCCTCTGTGGGGGGTTTCTGCACGCTTGCTTCCCGTGAGGCTGCTGGCTTGCTAGCTCTCCGTGACTGTAGAGGTCATTTTTTCATGCATAGAGGAAGCCATCAGTCCAGTCATGGTGCAGTTTGACTCTTCGCAGTTGATTCTGATTTAAAGACTAAGTTCCCAACGTTATGCCAGGTAGAACTTCTACTACTTGGAAAGAAATAGTCGAAGACAATTCCAGGTCAATTCCAAGTTTGAAAAGAGTAGCAGAAGACAGGTCAACCCATAGAATTCAAGAGACTCCCAGACATGAAGGACCCACCTCTCTAAGAAACTTGACCTTCCAATGCTTTGCTTTTCCAATCCAGAAAATAGGGAGAGAATATGCAAAGCTGTGCCTTGGGGAGAATATTTAAAAAATGATATTTAAAGTACTGAGCACACTCTCTGTTGCATACTAGCAAATTCAATAATATTAAAGCCAAAATTGAACTTTTTTCTTATTGTGTTAAGCCCAGACTGATTGTTACTATAAGTTGCAAGAACAAATAGTTGTAAATGATATTCTTTCCTCAAAAATCTATATTAAGCTTTCCATTAAAATTTTCAGATAAAGATTTTTTTTTTGCTTGCTCAGGCAACAGTCTAAATATGCTAAGGAAGCAGTCTGAATACATTATTTCAGTTTGGTGGCTTTAATACTTCTAGAATTTTTTTCAGTTATATATATATATATATATATATATATATATATATATATATATGTGTGTGTGTGTGTGTGTCTGTGTGTGTCTGTGTGTGTGTCTGTGTGTGTCTGTGTCTTACATGTGAGCACCGGTGCCCGTGGAGGCTCTTGGATCCCTTGGAGATGGAGTTACAGGTGGTTGTGAGCTGCCTGATGTGGGTGCTATTAACTGAACTGGGGGTATAAATATGAAGGGGTATAAATATAGGTGCTCCTAATTGCTGAGCCATCTCTGCAGCTCCTGTGGTGGCTTTAGTTTATCATTTCATGGCATGATATTGCCAATGGTCTTCTTTTTTTTTTCCATTTTAAAGGGGAAAAAAAATTAACAAATAAGCCTAGAAGTTAAAACCTTCTATCCATTTTGCAAAAGGCAAGTGCATGTGACTCTAATATCAGAATAACTGTGCGAAGTGTCTTGGCTGTGAATGTGCTGGGAAGTACAGACTTTCTCTTTGAATACTTCCATTGGCTATCTACAGAAAGCAAGCTATTGCTTCACAATTGCAAACTCTGCAGTTTCGTGAAAGAGTGGCTGCAACTTTCCAGAATATAAATATTACCCCAGTTTGATGACAGAAGAGGGACAATGAAGACCATATGCTTCCATTCAGCAGTGTGTAACAAGTAGCCTCTATGCATCAGGCATATATTAATCCAATAATTCAATTGCCTTTCCTGGCCCTGCCAAGAGGGAGTTGCCCCAGATGTCCCCGTGTGGGAGGCAGGCAGGAGGGTCTAGTTCATGCCCGACAATGGGGAATGCTCTATTATTAAAGAAGTGTTATCCACAAAGAATTCTCCTGCTGGCTAGGAGGAAATGGGGTGTTCCCCACCCGTGGCATGGACTCTCGCTCTCGGCACGTGGTGTGCACAGCAGGCCCTCCATGACCTGCTTCTACTTCTCAGCCAAGTTTCCTGTTCTCGGGAGAGGCCATGGGAGCAGCTGTGTGGAGAAGGGTATCTACTGCTGAGGACGAGGTCCCCACCTAGAGAACAGGCTGCAGTCATTGCCACTGCAGTGCAAGCAGGCCCTGGCTGGGTCCTCTTGTGGGGATCCCCGGGGGTAGGGTGGGGTGGGGTGGGGTGGGGTGGGCAGCTTTCTAATTAAGTTGAAGATCTCTTCAGCCCCACAGGACACATTGCAGATGTGATTAAAGCAATCATCCCATTCGTGGGCTACTCTACTTGGGGCTTTATTTCTCTCACTCTTTCTGATGCAAGCTTGAAATACAGCACAAAGTAATGAGAGTGGAGCTAAACTATTATTTTTTTCCCTCCCAATACAGTGTATTTAATATATGACCAGCAACTTTGACGTTATCTTAAGAAAATGGAAAATTCTTATCAGCCTTTGAAGAAAAAAATTTCCTGACAATCTATCAAAAAATATTTTCATTATCCCATTCTTTCATTCTGTCTCCCTCCTGTCCCCTCCCCTCCCCGTGTCGTGTGTGTGTGTGTGTGTGTGTGTGTGTGTGTGTGTGTGTGTGTACGGGAATTAAATTCAGAGCTAGGCAAACACTCTATCATTGAGCTGCATCCACAGTACTCTCCTCTCCCACTGACCCCCTCCCCACAGTGCTTGCCTCAGTTTCCACTGAGAAGGAAGAACTAAGCCAGGGACGTCTCATTCAGGCAATCATTGAAGACTAAATAGCATTCACAGTCAAATGGGTGTGAGGTGCAAGGCCTGACCCCACAACTTAATAGTTGTGAATTTAGGAGGCTCTCATTACCTCTGAATCCCTTTGTTTCCAAGTCTCTATGGCATGGAATACCTTCGTCTTGACTTGGAGGCTGTGAGGTATGTGGAGAGAGCTCAGGTTGGAAGTAGTGGCTCACAGATGTAATCATATCACTCAGGAGGATGTTGAATTTCAGATTTCACAGTGATATTGTCACACACACGTACGCACACACTTTCATATATATGAAATGTGTTGCTAGGCAGCGTTCATGGCTGGACATGTCCTGAAAGAAAGCGGTGGGGTTATAAGGGACAATCAATGCAGGGGTCCAAGGCTCCTTCAGTCCCTCAATCCAATTTGGCCTAGGCCCTGCCTAAGCTAAGGAAACCTGGTCTTTCTCCATTTTGGGGACTTCGGCTCCGTAGGGCACCAGCAGGGGGCGGCATTGTTACGCTGCTAGATCTGCGTGGGCGACACTCTTGCACCCCATCTCTCAACTCAGAGCGGCACAGGTTGGGCTTCTAGGCTAGAGCTCCCCAAATTCAGAGGCTGGGTTTCTGGAGTTGTGCAGGGCCTTGGGGGAAATGATTATTCAACTCAGGGCCTGTCCTCTGTACCCGGACTGCAGCGGTCCACACATCCTCTACCTGGCGCAAGGAGGACTGCGAAGCATTTCTTTGGAAAGAGGCAGCGGGTGGAGGAAGTGGGCAAGCAAAAGCAGGGAGCTTTCTAGCAAACACCGCGGTGCCAGGGCACGGAGATAACCTTTCCAGTCCTTAAGAGCTACACTAGCGACTGAAGCTGGAGGGGAGAAACTTCAACCATCTTTTAAATTTGTCCTTTACGTCTGGTGAAAAGCCAGACCTTACCTAGATCACTGACATTTTGATTCACTTTAGAACTGAGAACTTTAGAGGCTGAGAGGAACGCGCTTCGCCTCCTAGGTCTGCGCCCCGAAGGACCGCCACCCTGGCGGCCGCTTTCGTGCACTGCTGGGGTTGCGCTCCGCGACCCCGCCGGTTGGCCACGCGCGCCCGCGGAGCTGTGGGGTGGGTGACGCGCGCCCGCCCCGCTCGCGCGCAGCAGCTAGCTGCGCACTAAGACTGGCTGGCACCCGACTTCCCCAGCACTTCTCGAGGTTTCCAGAATCGAAACTCAGTTCTCAGAAAATCCTCCCCCTCCCGCACAGAAAGTGACGTGCGTGACAAGTTGCCTCTGGAGACCACACTTGGCCCAGGGTCCCTAGTGGTATCGAAGGTCTAGCCACAAACGGACACTGGCTGGAGGAACCTCCAGGAGACCCAGAGTTACGCAGTAGTGACGCTCCTCACTCGGCCAGAAGGCTAGGCTTGGGAAGTTTCTGGAGTTGTGCGGATTTTTAACCCTGATTCAGTTTTGATGGCTGATTATCACATTTGGGGCGTTCAAAGTGTCTTCTCTTTGGGGAGGGGGGCTTGCGAGGACGTGCAGAAATAGCTCAATCTACACGTATGCGCCACAGGCATCTGCTATTGCACACAGCCAGGGGCTGCGCACCCTGGCTTGCAGCCAGCAGCAGCTCTGAGCTCCGGCGACTGTCCACCCAGCGACTGCCCGCGGGGGTGGCGCTGGGGGGGAGGTGCCCTATGCAAATGAGAGGGTGTGGCCAGCGCCGCTCTCTGGGGCCCCGGAAGCGCGGAGAAGCCCGGTATAAAAAAAGTACTGAAGACATTTCCCCCCGCACAATTGCTAAAGCTCCAGAGACGCGAGTGCGCGCGGCGGCATTGGCGGCACCGAGAGCCGCCACTTCCGAGACCACCGCAGCGGGGGCGCGGGCGGGGCGCGGGCGAGGGGCGGGAACGCTCAGGGCGCGGCGGGGGTCTGCGCGGCGAAGTCGCGGGCCGCTGCCCGGAGCGCACTCGCAGCTCCTGCGAAGTGTGTCCGCCTCGCGGTTCCTCGGTCGCCTGCGCTCCTAGAAGGGGCGGCCGCCTCCAGGTGACACAGACGGGACTCTCGCTTGCGCTTTCCAGATGCATCAGAGATACTTTTGGTGCGGGGCTGCTCTGCGGGGCGCGGCTGGGCACTGGGGTCGGTCCGGGGAGAAGGGCTACTCTGGGCAGCTCCAGGCGGGTCACGATCGGGGAGGTGGTGGAGCCCAGGTCCCTCGGAGGGTCCCTGTCCCCGCACCCGCGGACCTCCCTGATGTTCCCCTAAACCTACTCTTTCCTTTTAGGACTGACCAAGGCCAATTGGCGTTCGGCGGGCACTACATGGCCGAGGGCGAAGGGTACTTTGCCATGGCGGAGGACGAGCTGACCTGCGGCCCCTACATCCCCCTGGGTGCTGACTTCGGTGGCTGCGGCGGCAGCTTCGGCGACCGCTGCTTGGACTATTGCGAAAGCCCCACGGCGCACTGCAACGTGCTGAACTGGGAGCAAGTGCAGCGGCTGGACGGCATCCTGAGCGAGACCATCCCGATCCACGGGCGCGGCAACTTCCCCACGCTCGAGCTGCAGCCGAGCCTGATTGTGAAGGTAGTGCGGAGGCGTCTGGAGGAGAAGAGCATAGGTGTCCGCGACGTGCGCCTCAACGGCTCGGCCGCTAGTCACGTCCTACACCAGGACAGTGGCCTGGGCTACAAGGACCTGGACCTCATCTTCTGCGCTGACCTGCGTGGGGAAGAGGAGTTTCAGACTGTGAAGGACGTCGTGCTGGATTGCCTGTTGGACTTCTTGCCCGAAGGGGTGAACAAGGAGAAGATCACACCGCTCACTCTCAAGGTAAAGCCGCTTGGAGATGGGCTTGGGCACAGCAGCGGACTGGGGTGCGAGCAGAAGGCAAGCCCGACTTGCCTTAACTGCCGCTAGTTCGGCCCTGGTGCGGACGCTTATTTATTTTTGATTTTTTTTTTCACGAGTGAAGTAAGGTGCGAGAATGATGTGAAGTGTTTTAGTTTTCTGGGAGCTTCGGCGGCGCCACAACTGCGTGCTTCCTCCTTTTGCGTTCGTTCCCTTCTCTTCCTTCTCTGTATGGTTTAACTCTTGACGTTCCTTCTTGGACTCCTGTCCAGAGTTCATTCTGATTGGTGGAAGATTGGAATGATGTAAATACTTTTTTTTTTTTTGAGTCATCTTGTGATCCAGGCTTTGGGAAAATAGCAGCTTGAAGCAGAATTGAGTCAATGGGTTTTTTATTGTATTGGAAAATGTGAATAGGTTCCTACTCTGGATTCAACTGACTTCAGCCTTTAAGATATTTGGTGATTCTCTGGGTTAATTTATGTGCTGAGGGTGTAGTAGTATGTCCCTCCCCCTCGGTTTAGGTGGCGTTTTGTTTAATTAATTAAAGTTGTCTGAAGGTAATTTAGTTCCTCTTTAGCTATAACTGTAGCGTGTCACTGAAGGGACACCCCAGGGACCGATAAGATTGATTGCCTAAGGGGGAGGAGAACTGGGTGGCTGGAGACAAGGGTGAGAGGCATGCTCACGACACTGTCTGCCTTTCTGTGGATACTGGGCGAATATTGCGCCTATTAAACCATCTTCAAAAAATAACATTTGAAGTCAGACATGACAACAGAACCCCTTAGCACGCTGCTATGTCTGCCAAAAGCCTCAAACCATTACTTCCAGTCTCTTTCCCAGACAGCAAAACTACTCGTTAAATGTATTTTTTTTCCCTGTTTTCCTAAGACTGTTTAAGCTTGTAGGTAGTATTTTGCTGAAACTTGACAAAACAAACAGGAAGGAGCAAAATAATTCTCAGCTGAGAAGCTGAGATGTATTGATTGTTCTTTTTTTATTATTATTATTTTTTTCCAGTTTTGCTCATCTCCTTGTTTTGTCTTTTCAATTGTAGGAAGCTTACGTGCAGAAAATGGTTAAAGTGTGCAATGACTCTGACCGGTGGAGTCTTATATCCCTGTCAAACAACAGCGGCAAAAATGTGGAGCTGAAGTTTGTGGATTCCCTCCGGAGGCAGTTCGAATTCAGTGTAGACTCTTTTCAAATCAAATTAGACTCTCTTCTCCTCTTTTACGAGTGCTCAGAGAACCCGATGACAGAGACATTTCACCCCACAATAATCGGCGAGAGTGTCTACGGTGATTTCCATGAAGCCTTTGATCACCTTTGCAACAAGATCATTGCCACCAGGAACCCAGAGGAAATAAGAGGGGGAGGCCTGCTTAAGTACTGCAACCTCTTAGTGAGGGGCTTCAGGCCTGCCTCTGAGGAGATCAAGACCCTCCAGAGGTACATGTGCTCCAGGTTTTTTATCGACTTCTCAGACATTGGGGAGCAGCAGAGAAAGCTGGAATCCTATTTGCAGAACCACTTCGTGGGCTTGGAAGACCGCAAGTATGACTATCTCATGACCCTTCATGGAGTGGTAAATGAGAGTACGGTGTGCCTGATGGGACACGAAAGGAGGCAGACTTTAAACCTTATCACCATGCTGGCAATCCGGGTGCTAGCTGACCAAAATGTCATCCCGAATGTAGCTAATGTCACTTGCTATTACCAGCCAGCCCCTTATGTTGCGGATGCTAACTTTAGCAATTACTACATTGCACAAGTTCAGCCAGTATTCACATGCCAACAGCAGACATACTCCACTTGGTTACCCTGCAATTAAGAATCACTTAAAAATGTCCTGTGGGGAAGCCATTTCAGACAGGATAGGAAAAAAAGAAAAAGGAAAAAATACTAAACAACAACAAAAAGGAGTGATCCATCCCTAATTAGGGATGTGTTCTGTGCACTGGGGACGTGCTCCGGATTGCTTGGCAATACTTATGGATCTTTCCATTGGTAAGGGAGCATGATCTCAACTTGTCACCCTCCTTAGCCACACCCCCATGGTCTCTACCCAATTGGATTGTGTCTTGAAACAAAAGAGGCCCATTAGTAAAGGCAGCCAGGTTCTCCCAAGATAACAAGGGAATTAAAAAAAAAAAAATGGCTCCATTGTTGACAATATGGGTTTGCAGCAACTACTCCCATAGCTCTGCCATAGGGGAGGGGGTATGGTGGGAAAACTTTTAAGATGGCATTCACAAAAGGGAAAAGACAGAGGAGAGAAGCCTTGTCTTATCAGTTGAGGAGGTCAGGAAGTAACAATATGGGAAAAGCGGGACTCCTCCTGGGGATTACCGTCCGTCTTGCAGCAAGTGCTTTCTCTGGAAGGATCCCGTTCTCCTCACAGAAACTGCTCAATCCAAATGAACAGTAGTAGTTTGATGCTGTTCTCATAACGAACAGCGGAACTTAATGATGACACAACCCATTAATTCCAGCTTTGTGCATAGCTTGCATTCTTAAAATGTGAAGAACGCAAGCAAAACCAGCTGTAGCCAAGAAAATATGCTCAAGGACCAAAGATTTAACAGATAAAAATCCCCAAGCAGAAAAGATAGACTAGGATATATAAAGAGTTACTATATTTGTTACACACCAATACACATCAAAGTGCCTGTTGCTTTTAGAGGATTTGAAGTGGAAAAAGTTATTTTATGGTTTAATGGTTATTTTATTTTATCAGGGACTCAAGAAAAAACAAACAAACAAACATACAAGCTTGTGAATGGTGGAGGAAATGCCCTATTTTTTTCTTGGCAAATATCTATATAAAGTTGATATTGTTTGGTGTGATGTTATCATAGGTACGTGTTCGTATATTGTTTGTGTGTATGTACACACACATATATGTGATATGTATGTATATACACACACTCCTTTGTCTATGACCTATAAAATAATGTATCAAATAGGAAATTTTAAAATATTGTGCATTTTATGTTTTTGTTAGGATCATAGATGTCATGGGCATGTTGCAATGACAAATTAAAACCCATATAAAAATGAGAGAAATGAGTAATATATTTGATAGGAAGAGCAGAGATTATACATTTTTAGTGAGGTTATTTTTCTTCTCTTCAGTGAACCAGAAAATTTCACAAATGGGAGAATATATGATAGAACATTTTTTTTAATTGACTTGACCTGACATTTTGACAGTCTGAACCTCTCACCTTAAATAAATAGAATCTCATGCCTTCAAGGCATAGAAC